TGAACCCGTGGCACACCATCTCCGAGGGGTGGAGATTTGGGGGCCGTAAAACCAGCTGTTCGACTCCGGATGGAAGACTAAAGGGCTGGAAAGTGCAGGGGAAAGCTTGTGAGTCGTTGCGGCTATGATTCCCAAATGGTTGGAGACTAAGGATTGAATCGGAAGCTTTTGGGATAGAAAAGAAGAGTGGCGGTGGAGAAAATGAAGAGGAGGGTCTTCTGGAGGAATAGGAAGGAGTCTCCAAGACGATGATATTGGATCAAAGGAGAAGAATTCGATTGAGTTATTTGTTCCAAATTCTCCGGTGGCGTTTTGCGGAGGAGAAAGAAGAGCGTAGAGGGAGAAGAAGGAAGGAAATGAGGAGAGTAAAGGAAGCGACGCCATGGATGGCAAACGGAGAAAAGAAGGGAAGGGGAAAGAGAAGAGAGGCAACGTTGAGCTAGATCATCATGGAGGCCTGGTAAAAGGGTTTCATTTTCAGCAGTGTCATCAAAGGGATCTTTGCTAGTTTTGTCGCATTTTATCTTCTAGTATGGGGCTCACATTTCTTTAATGTGAAACTTTCAACTTTTAATATGAGGAATGGTTTGTCAACATATCAATATATAGAGTTTTTGAATATTTGATACAAGAGTTTTGTTTTTTAATGGTTTTATTTAGTTTAGTTAGAACGATTTTCGTTTAGATTATTTTCTTTAATTAATCTAAGCTAAGGTGATTATAAATTATAGTAATTATTTTAAATATTTTGTAATCGTTGGTGGTCAAACTTAAAACTACTATAAAATGAATAAATAAGGAACTGAAATGATGTAGCGGAACACAATCCTAAAAATTGATTCTTTGTGCATGTATAAAGATACTCTTTAAGTTTATACCAACAATAATATTTATATTACTTGTGGACACTGAATTTAATCCTGATCTTAGCCAATATTTTACAACAACAACAAAACCCTATTCTCATATGTAATGGGGTTAGGGGGAGGTAGGGTAGTAGGCTGTCCTCAACGCCAGGTTGAGAGCAGCTTCCGTGGAAGACCTCCGACAGTCAGAAAAATTTAAAAATAAAGATAAAATATAATGCATGTATAAATAAAGAAATAAATAAATAAATACATAGTTGAACAGTCTTCATATGCGCGTCTGTAATGGGAAGTTATCACTGCAAATAAATCCCTGCATACAAATCTCTGAATATAGACAAAAAAAACGTAAGTCCCAAATAAATTTAAAAGATGAAACATGAGAAGGATATACAGAAGTCAGTGGTTGCAAGCTACGATAAAAGAATAATGTCAAAAGGGTTAAAACCTAAACTAATGCAACACTACTCCGCTATCCTAGTTCTAATCCTTCAAAAATTCTCATGACAGAAACGTATTAAAAGTAGAAGTCAAGGAAATTACTATAAAGGCATTAAAAAGAAAGCAGAGATGCTACACCCTATGGCTGTGACCCACACTACTCTGCTACCCTGGTCTTAAGTCTCCATACTTTCCTATCAGAGGTCATGTCTTCAGTAAGGGCTAAATCCTTCAAATCAGATCTTAAACAGTCTACCCACTTACTCCTTGGTCGTCCTCTCCTTCTGGCACCGTCGACTATAATCGACTCTACCCTCCTGACCGCATCCGACTGTTGTCTCCTAAGGACATGTCCAAACCACCGTAGTCTTCCCTCCCTCAATTTTTTGGATACATGCATCACCCCCAAGGACATCCTAATTGCAGAGTTTGGAGTCATTTCCCACAGAGTCTTACCACATGTCCATCGAAGCATTCTCATTTCTGCGGCCTCCATCCTCCTTACGTGATCCTTCTTGATTGCCCAACATTCTGATCCATACATCAGCGCTGGTCTTATTGCTACTCTATAAAATTTTCCCTTAAGTTTTAGAGGTACCTTCTTGTCACACAAAACTCCTGTAGCTGCCCTCCACTTTAGCCATCCCGCCTTTATACGGTGTGTTACATCATCATCTACACCCCCCATCTTTATGTATCATAGACCCTAGATACTTGAAACAATCCTTAGAGGGGAGAACGTGTCCTTCGATGCATACTTCTACGTCTTCATCGTTTTGGTTCCCACTGAAGTTTGAACATAAATACTCTGTCTTTTCAATATTGATCCTTAGACCTTTTTCTTCCAAAGCTTTCTTCCAGTTATCCAGTCTACTATTCAACTCAGTTTTTGTTTTAGCAACTAGGACAATGTCGTCAGCGAAAAGCATACACCATGGAACACCGACTGGTGTCGCACAATAGATGCCGTCCATAATCAAGGCGAAGATGTAAGGGCTAAGAGCCGACCCCTGATGGAGTCCGATTTCTACTGGGAAAGCCTCTGTGTCCCCAACTGTAGTCCTGACATATGTAGTAGATCGACAGTACATATCACGAATCGCCCGGATATAAGCAGTTGGGATCCGTCTCATTTCCAAGGTCTTCCAGATCGTATTGCGGGGAACGCTATCATACGCCTTCTCAAGGTCAATGAACGCCATGTGAAGATCACTATTTTTTCCCTATATTTTAAAATATAACTCAATATATTATTTATAGTTTTGAGCTATAAAAAATATGATATCTGGTTTTCATTATTAGATTCAAGGGTTATTACTGAACATAATGCTTTCGGCTGTAGAATATATTAAATGTCTATAAATTTGAGTTCAAATAGATTACAAATAAATCATATTGGTAGGTAAAGGACCATGATGAATGATTATCAAATTCAATGTCTCGTAAAGGTGTAAAAGATCGATCTGATTCTACTTATGTTCATACTAATATAAATCTTAATAATAGAGAAGAAAGTCAATCGAAGAGATACTGCATTTAAGAGTGAGCAAAACTCGACTCGAAAAATTGATTTTTTCAACTCGATTCGATTAAAAAAATTTCAAGTTCAAATCGTAAAATACAACTCTAATATCTTGAATACTACAAAAATTTTAGTAATTAGTGAATAAATTTTTAAGTTTAAGTCGAGTCATCAATTCTGTATGATATATGCATATCACATATAAAAGAAATATATATGTATTGCATTTTTTATATAAAATTCACATATGAATGGATTGTTATATATATTAATTGTGCATGATCATAAAAGAACTATTCATATTGAAATAAAATAATATCATAATATTATAAATATTTATAATTAAATTTTAGAAATTCGAAAACTTGACTAGACTCGAATTTTATAAACTCGATTCAACTCGAATTTTATAAATTCGACTTGACTCGAAAAAAATTTAAAGTCAACTCCGAGTTGTAAAATAGGACTCGTCAACTCTAATAACTCAAAATGTTTTTACTCGACCCAATCGAACGCTAACCGCTAATTACATTATATTGTAATGAATAGAGAAAAATCAAAACCTTTTGGTAATTAAGAAAAATATATATTGTTATGATTTATTTAAAAATTTATTTAAAGACTTTTTGCATTTTTTTTCATGTGACCGTCTCTCATTGCGTAACATCATTTTCTTAAGGGAACGACTAGGGATGTAAATGAGACGAGACAAATCGCGAGCTACTCGAGATCGACTAGATCAAGGCTCGATAAATACTCGGATCGAATGGACTCGACTCAAGATCGACTCGAGTTCTTAACGAGCCGAAACGAGCTACTCGATATTCGACTCGAAAAGCTCGTGAGCAGCTCGAAAAAATGTATATTATAATTTTAGATTTTTTAAAATTACATTATTAAAAATATATTAAAAATACATTATTGATAATTATAAAATTTTAAAAATAAATTAAAAATTCTATAATACAACTAAACCATATTGTAATGCATTTAATATCAAGATACTATATTGTACTTACCTCATAAATCGGTACCAAGCCGATTAATTAATGTATTTGTAATGAACTTAAACCCTAAAACCTAAATCATAAACTCTAAACCATAAACCATGAATCCTAAACTATAAACCTAAACCCTAAATCCGATTATGTAATAGGGGTTAAGTTATGCACATAAAGATAACATACAAATTATGCAAAATGATGTTATGTGACTCCTAAATAAATCATTTGCACACTTATACATAAATATATCAACATGCAAAATAAATATACACAACTTCCTGATTGAGACATGATTTTATCATATCTTAATGATGACTATCGACACCGTCATTGCTTTCAAGCACTGACTCACCAACATAATATTTCAAGAACTGACTCGACGACATAATGTAAACGGAGATTTGATGTACAAATACAACTAAAACGATGTGATCATATTTTATCATACCCTAGTCAACAGGTTAACATCAATATCATACAATCACCAATTTTTTTTAATGAAAAATGACGAGTTTGAATCATATGAATAGTCGAGGTAAATACATGATAGGATTATGATATATATAATTATAAACAATTAAAGCGTTTTAGAATGGAAGTAGAATTTGGGTTAGTTATAAAGTAATATATGTTTAAAATTTTCTTAATCAATTAACAATGCTTACACATCCTACGATGGTCCATCGTAGATGGTGGCTATTCGATTCCAAATTTCATGAGTCGTTTGTCTCGACCACCAAGTCTGAATATAGTGGTTGTTTTACCATAAAATGTCTTAAAACCCATGCATATCAACTGAAATGTTTGGCCATACATTTGGATCCATGGATTCTGGTTTTAGTTCGGATCAGTTTCTTAATTAATGAAAGGTTGATTAAATTAGAGCATCTTCAAGACTAGAAACTACAGTAAGCAATGGAATGGTGATAATTCAAACAAAGAGTAGACAACGAAACCCAGTTCAGTACAAAGGGAACACAATTCGTTTATGCACAAAATTTTCATCCTTGTGGGACAGACATATTCACCTTCTCTCAAAGTTCAAACGTGCAAGAAAATATGGGAAAAGGGTTGCAAAAATTAAGGGATACGAAATCAGAATGACAGTTGTAATGTGTAAGTGGTCATGGCGAAACCCGAAAAAGTTTTCAAGCATAGAGGCCACTGTCATGGCTTCATTTCACCGAATACCACAATCTCATCGTTTACATCTCCATATTGTGAAGTGAGCAAACAATTCAATGTCCAAGATGTAGGCATTAGATAATACAACCAGAACCACCACTTTGGGATTTTCTACAGATAAAGAATAACATAACCAGCTAAGTGAATACTACACCACAGTTATACTAGGTATAATTCAACATATTCACTTTTCATCATACCAAATTCTTTCTAATAGTAATAGCTTACCGGTTTAGGCATCAGAAAGTCGGAGAAAAGATTAAGCAACGGATAGAAGAACGATGATAAAGCTCCAGCTATTGTGACTTCCGGTGTCAATGACACAAACAACATTCCAAAGAAGGTGAAGTAGAGCTGTGTGGAGAAGATGGCATAGAAGTACCACAAAACCTTATATGCTGATCCATAATAGCCAATCATGGGATATGTGATCATTCTAAACAACAGAGTTTGGATAAATAGATAGGGTACCTCAACTGTCACCTGCAGAATATTTACACCCTCCTTATTTACTATAAGCTTTATCGAGAACCCAGAAAACTAGCAACTTAGCTCAAAGAGAGAAAATAAAAAAGTTCATTTTAACTTATGATGCGTAAGAGAACGTACCTGTGCTAGTGCATAAGCCCAAGAAGAGTACATCCCTGCAAATCTTTCTCGGTACATAACAATCCTCTCCGTGGAAACAAATGGTTGGACAGATGAGCTGCTGTTCATCCCCAGAAAGGCCACAGCAAAGTACATTGAACCGAAAATATTGAACAAATCTTGCAGTCTATTTTTGGAAATTTAAAGAAGAAAAGAAGATAGAAAGATGATGTTAATTATCAACAAGCCTACTGCAAAGGGAAAGTAATGCAATTTTCTAGTGCTTGAGCTCACGGCGATGGAGAAGTAGGCCTAAAGCAAAGATCTTGGGGAGGTGAATGTGTGGTTTCTTTTGAAGAAATCTATGGCTGCCCGATGATGAGGATGAAGAGTGGCCTTGCTTTGAAGGTAAGATAAGCTAAGATGAAGAGATCCCGACTGTTTAAAATTCCCAAAACTCCTCTTTGAAGTATTTTTTAACATAGAACCAAACAGGCAAACACTCATCCATCATTAGACCTCGAGATCTTGGATTTTCCCTCCCGACTTTCGTTTTTAGATGTAATAAGTGAAGGAATTGAAAGTGCTTATGATTGGAAATCTCAATTTATGGATCTGATTTCGTAAGGATTGAGGGAAGTTTTGGAGTCTGTGGCAAGCGATGCCTTGAGATTCCATGCTTGGCTCCCTAGAACACACACGATCCCACATCGGTGGTTCTTGGAGAATAAGGGGTAAAGTGAGTCTATAAAAGGGGATGAGTTTTCAGTAATTGAAAATTTACCTATTGAGCTTGAATCGAGCTCAAAACCGAGCTTGAATCGAGCTCAAAATCGAGTTCAAAATCGAGCTCGAGTCTCGAGTTTCAATCGAGCTCTTGAATTTTTTTTTGAGTTTGAGCTTTTTCGAGTTCGAGTCGAGTTTCAATTTTATCTTTCGAGTTCGAGTCGAACTTGAAAATTTTAGGCTTCGAGTTTTCGAGTCGAGTCGAGCTTACATTTGAAGTTTTTGAGTTCGAGTCGAGCTTGGCAATACTCAAGCTCGACTCGACTCGTTTACACCCCTAGGAACGACAACGAAGAACAATGATATATGAAGGGGTGTTTTATTTTATTTTTATAATTTTTCAGATCATAAATTATAGATCCGTTAAAAATACTTGTTAGGTTCCTCTAGAGTTCTCTTCTCTTCACCTTTAAATATGATTAAAATTACATTTAGATTTTGTTAAAAAAAACTCGTGAATTACAGTAATCTTTTGTGGACTAACATTACTCCCCCTTCAGTTCGGTCTGAAGCAAGTTATAAAGTGTGTTATTGAAGAGCTTGTACCCAGGAACAAGACCTGTTATTATTATACTGACATTAGATTGTTTTAATTTTCTTGTATTGTTTATTTATAATATATTTTTATGTTTTAAAATGGGCCAATATGCATGAATACAACCAAAGACGGCACGAAGGCAACATTTGTTCCAAGACAACGTAATTAAATGTGTTATTTTTTAATCAACAAATGCCATCCAAGGCAATCTATGGACCGTTTAAGAGTTGAGCTCAATGAATCATAATAAATGAAACTAATGAAGTGAAACTCATTGGCAACTTAATGGAGCAATGAGGTTAACTAAACCTGGAATAGTAAGCAATTAATGAAAAGCGGCGTCTCAAAGCCAAACGATTATTGCATACCACTTGGTAAAATGAAAATTATATACCAATTTTTTTTCAAAGTCCGTGGTACAAAGATGTCTATTCGCCACTTCATGATGGACTGACTACGAATTTTAATTCTTCCATGGGCTGCCTAGAAAACTATTGACATTTTCACATTTCTTTACTAATTCTGTAGCATCCAATCGTATTTTAGGATAGAAATACTCTTGTCCAATTATGTTTTGGGTAAATTACACATTTATTACCTAAACTATTAGTTTTTTTTCATTTTAGTACCTAAATTTTTATTAGTTTCAAAAGCATACTTAACGTTTACTTTTTGTTTCATTTTATATCGACAGTTATAAAAATTTAAACTGGTGCACGTGGCATTTTTATGGACAAATTACACAATCTTTCACTTAACTATCTTTTCACTCCTATTTTGGTCAGAAAAGTTTAAAAATTTTCAATTTAACTACTCAACTTTCAAGTTTCTCGTGTTTTAATCACTCTAATTTATTTTATTATAATTTTTGTGACATGAATTTTTTTTATTAAAATATAATTAAATAAATAAAAATAAATTTGAAAGTTAGAGTGATTAAATTAGGAGTAATTTGAAAGTTAAATAATTAAATTAAAAAAATAAAATTTAGTTATCAAAATATGAATAAGAATATAGTTGAGTGATGAATGATATAAATTACCCATAAAAATTATCATGTTGTAACAGATCTACTAAGTTTTAATGGGAGATATCAAAACAAAACAAAAAGTAAACATTAGGTATGATTTTGAACAAATGAAAGTTTAGGTACCAAAACAAAACAAAACTATAATTTAGGTACTAAACTTGTAGTTTACCCTTATTTGTTTTGGTGTCGACGCTCTCCCCCTAAACGATTCTCACACACCGTCACGAATGTCTAAAAGAACATAATAGGCTTCTTTGGATGTATTCAACTAATCGAAGGGTAAACATAAATGACCACCTGGGATTTGGTCTCCAAATGACCAACATTTTCAAATATGTATTAATATGACAACTAAATTATTTAAATGTTTTCAATATAATTGTATGTCGTTAACATTTAATAGAAGGTTTACGTGATAGGTAATAAAATTAATATAATTAGGGTATAGGTCCTTGTAAAGTTATGTATTCACTGCATTAGAATTCTACTTTGTTTTCTTTCATTTTGGTCACTACTTGGGTATGATTTGTTTCCTTGAATTTTCATTTAATGCAATTTGAATTTAATAAATTTATCTAATATTTTGGTCACTACTTGTATATGATTTGTTTCCTTCTATTTGTTTCCTTCTTTTTTTTTCCTTCTATTTTTAATTTGTCTAATATTTTAATTTGACCATTAACTTTAAAATCTTTTATTCTAGTCATGTATTAAATTTATAGATCAAATCACTTATATTTTAGAATTAATCAATTTGATCACCAAGATTAACTTTAATTCTTAATTTTTAATTAGGTCATAATTTTAATTTAATTTAATAAATTTATTTCTCCAATCAAATTTTGACACATGCCACCTTTTGTATAATACAATTTAATTAATTTAATAAATTTTTTGTCCAATCAAAAGGTGACATGTAACACCCCCAACCCGTATCCGACCCGGATCTGAGTCTGAGGTGTCACATTGACTTTTCAAAATAATTTTCTTAACAAATTGGCTAAAATTTAACTCTACATTTCAAGAAAACTAATATTTTACACTAATTTAAAATCAATTGGTTTTACAACACATATCAGAGCATATTAAATTCTAATTTCTTAGTACATGCCAACTATATTTAAAATAACAAAATACACATTAATCATTTCTTTTCTGATCTAAACTTTGTAAAGGAGAGGCTAACCTATCTTGCTCCTCTTAGCTTCTCTTCTCGCTTTTCGGAACCTGCGTATGAAACACTCACACACTAAGTTGATGACTTAGTGAGACATAATAACACATCTAATGCAATTTATATCTCCTAACCATGCATGCATATTTATACTATCATATCATACAACTCATATACTTTTCATGTAACAAATATATACATACATACATGTCATCATTTATGTTTTAATCGTGCTCATATATTATTATTATTCTTATCTCTTAGTCATATGTTCTTGTACCTAACATTCTTAACTATCATATGATTCATTCACCCAATACACACAACTTTATACAATTCACTTAATATCTTTCATACCATAACAACATATACATCATATAATACATTTATCATTTCACAAGAAAACACATAACATCATATCAAGTTTATTTATATTTTTTCTTTATTAGCCCATGTACACATGTGAGAACTAAAGATATGCGAGTACATAGAGGTTGTGCACATATGCTGTCACCACAGCTCGTATAATTCCCACAAGGGGTACTTAGATTTGTCCCGAATGACCACTATGTCCCGAAGGACCACATATCACATATGTCCTGAAGGACCACTCCTTAAGAACCATATACATATTCCAATGGACCAAAAAAGTGTACCGAAGTACCGTATATATGTTCCAAAGGATTACATATATGTCCCGAAGGACCACATAGAACCCTTGACTCTTGACATGCCAATTATTCCTCTAGCTCTCATGACACATAACATGGGCATCATCATTATGTTTACCATATATTCACATAGCCATATCACATAAGCACATTTTCTTATAGTTTCTTATCATATGACTTATCTATTGTGATCATGTAATCATATCACTTATACTCACATAGATCATATCCACATGGCTTATCTCATATACATATGTTAACATACTTTATGGTCACATAGTTTATACCCTTTTCACACATAGTCACCTAGGTCCACATTATTTAGCTTATTTCACCTTTCATATATTCATATAATTCATTTTCACATAATTGATATCTTAATCACATAACAATAACATGCATTCACACATAGCATATAACATGTACAATAATATATCACACACATATTCATATCAATAACATGCTTATATTTATGATTTCATGTATGCTAATATAGGAAATATACTTGTCACAAGTCTTATTTCCATTCATTGTCATATACTAACTAATATGCACTCACCTGACCTCACTAGTCCATACCAATCTCTTATCTCTTTATCGATGATTGTTGCTTGTCGACTTGTCCGGACATTGCTCTCGATCGATATCTACACAATCATACGTATTATACACATATCAGTATTCCCAATATCACGCTTCAATCCTTAATTTCTTAAGCTAGAAGAAAGATCAAATTTTCTTTTCCATTTGAAGTAGTATCGGTACCCACTATAGGGTATCGATACTACACTAGCTGTAGTATCGATACCAAGCCTGGGTATCTATACCAAATTTACATTCGATGTTTTCTGGTATCGATACATTCCTTATTGTATCAGTACTCATGGTATTGATACTACCTTCCCAGGTATCGATACCCTTTGAACAAATTTATTGGTAGAAGCAGTACCGATACCTCTTGCCCAGAATACACTTTTCTAACCCGAAAATCTTACAAAACTCACTTAAATCCTCTACCATCACCTCCTTTTAGCCTTTTAAGCTTAACTACATTTATTCTAATCAACTTAGATCACTTTAATTCATCCCAATATCCACTATCCCACATATACTCTTGGATTCAATAATTAAGTCAATAATTCAACATGTTCCAAATTTGTTTATAACACTTTGAATTTCTTATTCTGATTGATGACAAGTCAAATTTGACTTCCAACTTCAATTACTAACTCTTTTCCAAGATTTCACTTATAAACCTCTCATCTTTAATCCTTTCTAACTTAATCATCTTTGAGTTTTAAGCTACCTTAAGCTTCACTTAAGCTTTTTTATCATCTCAAGAATCAAAACTAACTTTAAAACTAAAGAATTAACCAGTTTGAGACCAACTTACCTTTGAAATGAGCTCACATGAAGAAGAAGAAGAACTCCATTCTCTAGACTTTTCTTTTCCTTTTCATTCCCAGTTCCACGTATTTATATCCCTTAAAAAGAGAAAATAAAAATCTTCTTTTAGAAAAGACCATATTACCCTTATTACTTTAAAACTTTACAATTAAATCCAACATCAAAAATTCTCCAATAAGGTCCCTAAACTTTTAACTTATTTCAAAATTGAGCACCAAGTTTTCAAAATTTATATTTTAGTCACTAGCCCAATTTTGGGATGTTACATGACATGTGTCACCTTTTTGAATTGAAGTGAAAATAAATAAAGATGAGTTTTGACACCCAAGAAAATCCAACTTGAGTCCCAAGGGTAATCTGCACATGCCTTAACCACTAAGCTAATTCTCACACTTGTTATTGGGATAATACATATGTTATATAACTTGTTCAAGTTTAGGCAGAAAAAAATTAAAATAACTTAATTGGATTTGAACCTAAAATGAATTAGTAACCAAGCAAGACTTAACCAATAAACTAAATTTAGTATTTAGGACTCAATTATAATATTATATATATTATATATATTATATTATAGTTAATGATAAAAAATAAAAATTGATAAGGGAGAACTTACATTTAGGTCAATCCCCCTTACCCCATCGTACATGGGAATATGATTTTGTTGTTGTTGTTGTTGTTGTTACATTTAGGTCAATTAAGAATATGACAACACTTAAATCACTAAAATAAATCTAATAGTTTATTTATAATTGATTTAAGATTTTAATATTTTTAAACTAGATTTATTGTTTTCATATTTATTTTTTAATTATTATATATATGAAATCATTAAAAATAATTTAATATTCAAATTATAATCATACGAAAAAATATTTAAGATTCAAATTATAAATTTATCTTTTAATTTTAAACTGTGCTTGTGAGTTCGGGTATGTTAAATAAATTTTTAATTTAATTTTAAATATAAATCATTAATAAATAAATAAATAAATAATAAATAAATTTAATTTAATTTAAAAATATTAAAATCTTAAATTAATTATAAATAATATATTAGATTTTTTTTAGCAATTTAAGTGTTATCATATTCTCAACTAGCCTACATTTAAATCCTCACTTGTCTATTTTTATCTCTATCATTAACTATAATATATAATATATAATATATAAAAAAATATTTTAATTGATTAGCCTATTGGTTAAGGCTTTACTTGGTTACTAATTAATCTTGGGTTTAAATGAAATTAAGTTATTTTAGTTTAATTTTTCTGCCTAAACCTGAACAAGTTATATAATATATGTATTATCTTGATAACAGGTGTGAGGAATTAACTTAGCAATTAATTCTAAAATCTAAGGGATTTAATCTATAAATTTAATACATGACTAGAATAAAAGATTTTAAAGTTTATGCTCAAATTAAGGCATTCGACAAATTAAAAACAACATCAGGATCAAATTGCATTAAATGAAAATCCAAGGAAACAAATCATAAACTAGTAGTGACCAAAATGGAAGAAAACAAAGCATGGTGCAGCGTCGCGAATACGTAACTTTACAAGGATCTGCATCTTAATTATACAAATTTTGTTAACTGCCACGTAAATATTCCCGTTTAATGGCGGGGGACTATATTGAAATCATTTAAATAGTTCAGTGGTCATATTGATACAAATTTGAAAAATGATGGTCATTTCGAGACCAAGGCCATAGTTGGGTGGCCATTTATGTAGTTTACCCAAAATATTTTTGTCCATCTAAAAGGGTATACCTGGAGTCTGAAAGGATGCACTCTCCTCGTAGCTAGGAAAGGATGCTTCCTACTACACAAATCTGAGACTACTGATCATGAAACGATTTGCTCAGTTGGTCTTTTTCCTTTCAAGGTTTTGTAACACGCAAATTCAACTTGACAGTTTGAACAGATTTGAATATCATGAGAGACCCACTCGATAATTGAAGTCTTTTCTTTAAATGCCAACACTTAATTAGTCTAGTGAGATGAAACAATGAAATCTTTAAGTAAATTTAGGAGTTCAAATATTGATGTTTGTGAATAGAGTAAATTGGATTTAGAGAGTCATTTCATAGTGAATATCTACAAAACTCGATCCAAAATAATTAATCAACAAGTCAGATAGTGATAGTTAAACAAAAAAAATATATTTTCTGTAAATCAAATCCATAAACAACATATAAAAGTTTAGTATGGTACAATAAGTGCTAATAAAAGTTACAAACATATAATATCAAAATATGAGTGTAAAGCTTCATCAATTTTAAAATCAAATACTTTACAACGGTAAAACTTATTATACCAAAATCATTTATAAATTTACTAGAACTCTAATTTAATCTAAAACTTGTTTACATTTAAAATAACTAATTTAAATTTTAAGTTAAAAACATTTCGATTGTAATTTTCTTAAAATATTATATTTCGGATAATCTAATAAATGTAGCACTTGGGTGTAACCCAAAACAATTTTTCTCCAATTTTTACAATCAACCAAGTGGTGATTAAAAATGAAAATTTTCAATAGTTTGATGGCTAAGATGAAAACGACACCTAACTTTGATGACTAAGATGAAAAAGGAAACCTAACTTTGATGACTAAGATGAAAACGAAACCTAACTTTGATGACTTGTTTGAAAAAAAATATAAAATTATATATTTTACCCTTAAATTATAAGTCAAACCATTAAAATGTTAAAACTCAGGTTTGATTTTCCCTACTTTAGTCTTAGTCTTGAGGCTTTGGCTGATTTATTCCCCATGGTGCTGTGAAAAAAATTATTGGCTGAAATATGGTCTTATCGAATTTATTTTTTGATTTAGTGTGAATGTTTTACAATTATTATTTTAATATTTTTCCCTTTCCTTGAGCCTAAGATTCTGGCGTCTCCCCTCATTTATTCAAAGTTGCATGGCGGTATTCGCGTCACACGTCAAAGTCACATTGTATTCTTGACGACTATTTAATTACTGTAGCATTCACACCATCTCAAAAAAAAATTATGTCGATACTCTAATTTAACCAATATTTTTTTCAAAAACCCTACAGTAGCGAATCAGCCGGTATCATGCTACATTTAATATCCTCCATGGCTATATGCCAGTCATTTCTACGAAAATCATACCGCTCAAACGACAGCGTATGAAATTATGGTCTCCCGCTCTCTTCTTATCTGCATTTTCCAATGTAATGTTATACCAACCACCAACTTCATATCTGCCATTATCTGGACTCTCAAGTCATGGGACAAGTCTTGGACAAATTCCACGGTAACAATTTCTTTTATTTTACTTTTTTTATTTCCTTGAAATTTCATAATACTGAACTTTCTTATCCTTCACTCCCGCTAGTTGTTTTCTTCATCATGTGAATCATAAAGGGTGCTTTTTGTTATGCATGGAAAGCTAAATTTTGAATTTTTCAAAAAAAAAAAAAAGTCAGAGTAGTAACCAAATGAGGACCATGCTAAGCTTTAATTATAATTTTGAAGAAATGGGTATTTAGAATATGATGCTCTAGATGACCATGTTGACTGACTGGAACTGTTTGCTGCTTCCAATTTAATCAATGACTTTGAACAACTGCGTTTTCATGGCTTCTTGTTTTTCCTTGTTTGTTTAGGTAAAATCTGTGTAGTGAGATGCGTGGTAGGAATTTAAATTGTGGTTGTGGATCGTTTTCAATCGCGTTGCTGTGTTACTATTTGGCTTCATGGGAACTGAATTAGTGACTTCGTAACCTTTTGTAGATTTTTTTTGGAGGGATTACAAGACAATATTTGTTCAAAATTTCTCTTGGTCTATTGATAATTTGCGCAAACACCTGAAACACAGCTATTCAAAACTGTGACCTGTAGAAAGAACTACGTTCACTTTATTACTGTGGATTCAACTTTTTGTAAATGTATTATAGGTATTGATTAAAACTTTTTTACAGGGAAGGAATGGAGAAAGGAACAGACTAGGAAAATTAGCGATAAGGTTTATGAGCGTATCAAAGTTCAATCAGGAGCTACTTTAAGTTTTGAAAATCTATATATTGCTGTCCTACTTGTGTACAAGTGAGGAGTTTTGCTCAACAGTTCTCTTTTTCAGTTTCAATGATTTCATATTATTTGGTCTTGCAATGGAAGATTTTTACCTTGTCGGACTTAAATGATCGTTGGTTATTTCTTCTGTAGTGATATTAATAAGTGTTTACCCGGACCACACTTCGATCCACCTTCGAAAGAGCAAGTCAGATCAATGATGGAGGTAACCCCAAAATTTAATGCAGCAATTAAAAGGGTTATACTTTACTGCAGCGAAGATGCTATGAATATGCTTAAATGATTTTAGTTCGGTATTCTGAATCTACGAACTTGGTTAATCGACAGTCTACGCTGTATCGAAGGGCTTAGCTATTGCATAAGAGAAGAAAAAAAAGGTTACCAATTTGAATGATTTTGGTAAAAGGAAGCTCTTGGAGTTTAAAAGGAAATATTTGTAGTAATGGTTAATGGTATGAAACAGTTTCATTTGTTTCATTTGCAGGAGTGTGACTTCAACCTTGATGGAGAACTTGATCATGAAGAATTTGTCGAATTCATTCAACTTCTCACAACCGACACGTTTATTGTCGTTAGTCAGGGACTGATTGTCACTTTGGTTGTTGCTCCAACTGTTGCCATGGCGACGAAGAAGGCTACTGAGGGTGTTCCTGGTGTTGGGAAAGTGGTGCAGAAGTTACCCAATTCGATTTACGCATCCCTTGTGACCCTTACAGTCGTTTGGTTTAAAACTTCACGTGGAACGGTTTAGTCGAGCATCACATATTTTTCTGCCAAACTACCATCTATGTAAACGAGGTGAGATCTTAGTTTGTATAGAATGTCTTTCATGTTGGCTTAATTATCAGAAGTACAGTGTTTCTGAAACTTCTTTGTACAAGAATCATTAATTTGTGATAATGTATATGAAGAAAGAGTAAATGAAGTTGTAGACAAATTATTATTATTTTGCGGAGAAATATACAACATTATGATCATAAGAAAACTCTTAATTTATACTATGGTAGGAAAAATGTGACCACGTTCCCTTATTCTTATGGTACTTGAACATTTGATCCATGTACTAGCATCTCACTACCTGGCACTTGTTAGAGATGTGGATCGATCGAACTCGTAAGAAGGATCCCAATCCAATGAAGAAGATAGAATCTTCGATGAGGTTACCAGAACTTCGGAAATGGAAGGACGAGCGTTGAGATCGTGAGCAACACACATTTTAGCCAGTTCAGCCATGGAGAAAGCCAAATCCAGGGGATATTCAGGCCTAAGAGAAGGATCAATGAAGTTCTTGAGCTTCTCTCTCACATTATCCCCCTCAAGCACTTCTTTGATAGATGCAGATAACAGCTCTTTGCCTCCACCGATCTTATCGGCAATGTCGGCATTTTTCCCGGATAAAAGTTCCGATATAATAACCCCGAATGCAAAAACATCGAGCTTAGGCGTGACGACACCATTTTCGATGTACTCGGGAGCCATATAGCCTTTAGTCCCAACCACATGCCTTGTCAACTGCAATCCACCATCATCATTGTCCTCAACAGTTCTTGCCAACCCAAAGTTGGCAACTTTGGCTCTAAAAGTTAGCATCCAACAGAATGTTACTGGTCTTCAAATTCTTATGAATATATGGAGGATTTACGTAGTTATGCAAATAGTTGAGTGCATCAGCTACATCATATACAATCTGTACTCTTTGCTTCCAAGAAAGAGTAAATGAAGTTTGAAACTTGTTGGAGTGAAGCCAATCCCTTAACGAACCTTTATCTGCATACTCATAGACAAGGTAAGTGTTTCCTTCATGTAAACAAAAACCCGAAAGCCTTATAATGTTGCTGTGATTGATCTTCTTCAACAAATTGATCTCTGAAGAAACATCTCCTTTCATTACTTTCACAGCAGCATCGTCACCCTGGAAAGAACCTCGAAAAACCGAACCTTTGATTCTGTTGGATTCACTGAAATCATCAGTAGCAGCTTCCAAGTCCTCGAACTTATACCGAGTCAAGGACTCGATTGCGTAACGAACACACCTTGGGACGATATCGAAACAGACCAGGAGTTTGGAGTGTAATTGGTTGAATCCGGCAATTGTTTAAGATCGGATGGCGGTGAAGAAACTATTGGACTGGCCTTGTGAGCTTTCCTTTGATGTTTGAAGAAACAAAACAAGAACCCTGCAAGACCAAGGAGAAGAAGTAAACCAACTCCAATTCCAACACCAATGAAAACCCATTTCTTGGAAGACTTAGAAGCAGATTCTCCAACAGGCGAAGTTGGTATTTGAGGAGCAAGGCCTGGAGGTGGAGGGGAGCTTTGAGGAAGTTCAATCCTGGCAGGCTCTTTTTCAAGTGGAACCAAAATGGGTGTAAATGGGAATATTATATCAGTCTCAGACAATTCATTAGCCTCCAATATACTCTTCACCTCAACACCAAAAGTCTCAGCAATAGAAGAAATGGAATCACCCCAAGTAACAATATAAGAAAGCAAGTATTTTGCACCTGCTCGAGTCTGATTCTGAGTAGGACAAGCACATCTAACGGGAACCACAAGCTTTTCACCCACTTTAAGATCCCTATAATCAATGGGGTTTTGAGCTTTCATCGCCTGACAAGTCGTAAGGCCCTGATAAGTATCATTAGAAATCGAAAAGTAAGTTTCAGTAGTAAACTTGATGGTGTAAGAGGCATTATGCTGGTAAAAGCTGGCGTTTTTGGTGCTGAAACAGGAACAGTTGACCGGAACAACCACCATTGACTTGGGGGTGACCGATGAAACATCGGCTGAAAGGTTGTTTTGAGAGGAAATCTGGGTTGCTTCGGCTCCTAACAGGTAGGCTATGGAGACGGGTGTGGTGTAAAAAGGTGGCTCAGACCGGAATGTGATGTAGGACAGACATGATATCTGGTCGCCGTTACATGAGAAGCCTCTGGTTATGTTGTTGTCCTTGCTTGGGTCTTCACAGGCGAGTTGCTGGTTGTTTACATAGCCTTGTTGAGCTTGAGTGAATCCGAGGAAGAAGAAGAGGCATGGGAGCAGCGAGAAAGGAAGGTCGAATTTCGGACGAGAATTCAATGTTCCAGCTGCCATGGGAAGATGATTTTTTTTTTTGAAGTTTAGAAAATGGAGATAGGGAAAGGAGTGGTTTTTCAATTTGGTAAAGTTAAGAAGGGGAGAGCCAACTGTATGTAATTAATGGGACTTTTCAACACGTTTTTCTTTGGTGCTTCGCTTGGACTGAGTTCTTTCGGGGGCATTGACTTTGCTGAGTTCAAATGTTCAACAGCTCTTGGCCCTTGTTACACGCCATGAAACCTCATCAGATATTTTCCGCTTTTCATCTATTTCATTTGATGACGACATTTTTTATAATCTATTCAATAATATCAATATGCAACGTTTATAAAATAATATATATTTAATTTTTTTTAAATTATTGATAATTAATATTATAGTATATGTTACATCATTTAAAGCGATAATATCATTTGTGTTACGTCAGTAATTGAACATATAACAATGTCAATTGTATTTATTGACAGTTAGTTGACTACATGTTTTTATCTAATAAATTATTTGTATAAACGTTAGACGTAATTTTATCATTATGCCTTATATATTATGGGTTAGATTCTAAAATATATTTATAAGATTAACATATAATATATTAGCATCAAGCAAGCCATCTGAATAGTTAAAGAGATATTGTTATCTTAAAAGATTTTAGATTCGAGCACTAATGATTATAGAATTACATGATATTTGAACATTCATTGTCAAATAGTTAAGAACGCTTTATTAAATTGAATTTTTAAATGTTATTAGCACAAATAAATCGAATATTTATGTAATTCACTAAAACAATGAAAATTATGTCAAATTCATACACATATAAATTGGTATATAATAAAAAAATGATGTAATACTCCATTAGATAATCATTTTGGCCCATATTTTTTTAAAGTATTTTAGTCATAATGTTTTATTTTAAAGAAAAAAAGTCTCTAACATTTGATTATATAGTCACTTTGACCATATGCTTATATTTTTAGAGTATTTTGGTCTCTCAACGTTTTATTTTAGGGAAAACACCTTATTTTAGAGCGTTAACCATTTTTTGAGTAATGATTTTCATCCAAAGATGGATTTTCCCCCAAAATGAAATACTGGGACCAAAATGTTCAAAAAAGAATACGAGTCAAATTGACTATTTTGTCAAATGTTAAGCTATTTTGTCAAACGTTAAGCTATTTTCTTAGCATTATGCCTGTTAAATTTTGGGCAAGCTACCTAGATCGTAATCCACCTATTATTTAGTTTCTAATTTATTCACCCAACGATTTTTTAAAAAAAAAATCATGTTTAACATTACTTTTTGATCATCCACCATTAAAAAGTTAACGACAATGTTGGCATGACATTCTATTATTATTTTGTAATATTGATGTGACATTATGTAATGGTTACGCATCAATATCACCGTTATTTTTTAACGGTAGGTGACCAAATAGAACCAAAACATAATATTGGGTATAATTTTGAAAAAAATAATAGTTGAATAACCAAAATAAAACAAAACAATAAGTGATTAACCAAAAAGATAATTTACCCTAATTTTAAGATGCCTTGTTAGCAGGGACAAATGTATGCATCCTTATTCTTCAGGAAAAAAGTGTTCAAATTTTAAATCCATATTTTCAATTTTTAGATTCGCTACCCCAAATCAGAGGGTTAGGAACTCTAATAAAAAGAAAACAGTGTTATGGGTAGTTGGGCAAATATAGAATGAGCCCAACGAACCACAGTCGCTAGGAACAATTCAACAATGTTTTGAACGGACCATTCCTTTATTGGTATGCACTTGTTTGACGGGGCAGAACAAAAAGATAGGATTTATTTTTGATAAATTTGAAATTTTAAAAAACTTATCTAAAAGGGATATTAATCAAATTACTGACTGAAGGAATGTCTGTTATTTCTAAAAATTTCAAGTTCTAACACCAATAACAGAGGTGACTGAGACAAATATTAATTTGTAATAACCTTATCTTAAAAAAAATCTTATTTAAAGAGGAGATAAAGGATTTTAAGAGAAAAAAAAGAATGCTCCTAGTAGATTTAAAGTTTATAATTTAAAAAATGAAAGAATAATAAACAACTTTATTTACCAATCAAATATATTTGTTCATAAAATGATAGGGACTTAAATCCACAAAGTTAAGAATATTCCTAATAGATCTAAAATTTATAATTAAAAAATGAAAGAATAAAAATAAACAACTTTATTTACGAATCAAATATATTTGCTCATAAAATGATAGGGACTTAAATAGGCCTGTAAACGAACCGAACGCACACGAACGGAGGTATATTCATGTTTTGTTCATTTAATAAATAAACGAACATAATCGAACACGAACATAAACGAACAAATTTTTTTTTGTTCATGTTCTTTCATTAAGGAATATAGCTTGTTCATGTTCGTTCATTTAATAAATAAATGAACATAAACGAACACGAACGAACGAACATAGACAAACACAATAAACGAACATAGACAAACACAATAAACGAACATAAACGAACAACACAAACACAAAAAAAAACTTATTTGAACACAACAAACGAATGTAAAAAAAAGTAAACAACAAGAATAATAACTTAAAATTCATTAATATAACATGCAATAGTTAATTTTTTCGAATACAACAAACATATATAAATCATAAATAAGCTATATGAACATAATAAAGTCTTAAAGTTAATTTGTTCAACAAAACAATCTTCTTGAAATCCAAACAACTTCAATAATCTTCGTAACATATTCAACTTGCCCTCTGTTTGAACATAAATGAACGAACATAAATGAACATAAATGAACGAACATATAATCGAACGTTCACGAACGTAAATGAACGAACGAGCCCTTTGTTCATGCTCGTTCATTTAATTAAACGAACGCAAAATCTTGTTCATGTTCGTTCATTTAATAAATAAACGAACTTCCCGCCGCACGGTTCATGAACGGTTTGCTGAACGTTCAGTTCATTTACAGACCTAGACTTAAATCCACAAAGTTGTCATTTCTTCACGATTATTTGTAGGGACATAAACATGATTTTATATTAGGGGGCGAACTTCATCTTATAAAATTTTAGGAGGGAAGAATAAAATTTTAAAGGAGACGAAAACATAATTTTAATAGAAAATATATAGAAAAAATCTAAAATATATGATAATTTTAGATTTTTAGGGGACACGACCGCCCCACCAGCCCCACCTAGTTTCATCGCTGATTTTGCTGATGATCTTTCTATTAGGTTAGTTTTAGTGCACGCATGAATTTTTTAAGTCTGTGTTATGTTGCTTAGAAAGTGTTTGGGAATATTTTATCTTTTCAAAAATAATTTTAATAGGTTAGAATGTAGTATTAGATGTTTTAATTTGTTTATAATTATTTTGAAAATTGCTATAAATTATGGGAAAATATAAAAATTATAATAGAATTTATATGTTTTGGTAAAATTTTAAATATTTTGACGTTTACATAGTTTAACTAGCGCCAATTAATTTTGATCAATACATTTGTAATACCTTAATTTTGTCTGAACGATTTGAATTGGGATAAAGGCGATCGAAGACTAACAAGTGACTCGTGTGATGATGTTCCATTATTCTATGTGGCATTGGTATTGTGCCTTTACTTAAATGAGTTTATTCGATTTGGATGAAATTTTGAGCTCGAATAATTTTAACCTTCTTTACTAGCACAATTACCCAAAAGTAAATGACTAAAATTCCAAATTAAATGTCCATTTACAAAAACAAGTGAAATGACCCAAATCAGGGCTGGCTTTGACTTTTTCTTGGCCCGAGACAAAATTAAAAAAATAGGCCCTAATTTAAAATAATATTAAAAAATATACAATATAAAATTTTAATTAATTTTTGTTAAATTAAATAAATATTAATTCATTACAATATCAAAAATGTCAAAAACATATTTAAGCATATTAATACTTATAAAAAACATTGCCTTCGAACATTTTTTGATGCAAAATCATTGATGATAGTGTCAACATCAATGCTTTCCAACATATTTTTCTCAATATATAACATAGCGAGTCTATTCAATCTTTCTTGTGACATTGTTGACCTCAAGTAATTCTTCAATAATTTCAGCTTTGAAAAACTTTTTTCCGCGGATGCTACCGTTACCGGCAGTGTTAATAAGATTCGATAAGCAATTGAAACATTAGGATAACAATCTCTAGCTTTAACAAACTCAAGAACTTCAAGTGCTAACATGAATACATTTGGCAAAGTCAATTGCAGCACTTTCATTTCAGAAAAAAAAATCATCTGCATCAACATCCGACAAATTATTATGAGAAAAAATAATCTTAAAATTATTGCAACATTCTTTTAATTTATTGTCATCCAATGACTTCAACCTTGTAGAATCAATTAAAAATCCAAAATAATTTTCAAAAATCTTTAACTGTTCAAATCTATCTTTCAAAGAAGCGAGCGCCATATAAGCAACATCAAAAAAATAATTAACTTTAAAAGACTCCTCTGCTGATTGCATTTCTTCATCATGGTCATTCTCATCAAATTGTCTTTTTCTAAAAATACGACGCTTAGTCAGAAAAATTGGCTCTATGTTCATATCTAATGCAAGACTTTTAGCAATATCTATACTAGCTTCGAACCCCTTATTTCAATAGTTTTCAAAATATGACATTACACCTTCCAACTCCTTTATGGTAGTATCAATGCACATTGATTTAGATTGTAATTTCTTACTTACCGTGTTGATAGCAAATAAAATATCATACCAGATAACCATTCCAAGTAAGAATTCAAAACTTTGAAGGGCACTAGCTAAACTTTCTGCTTCACTTTTTGCTTTTGCATCATTACCACAATATTCATATAATTGTAACAAAGCTAACCTTATTTTAGGAGTATGCCATTTAATAGCTTTGACACTTTTAATTTGACTTTCCCATCGAGTATCAGATAAAGATTTCACAGTTTCTGGAACATTATCACATAAAATTTTCCACCTTTTGGTAGAACTTGCGAACAATGAATATATACGTTGCACAATCCCAAAAAAAGAAATAGCTTTAACACAAAA